CACACACACACACCCCACACACACACACACACACACACACACACACACACACACACACAGTGGTTCCTCAGCAGTGCTGTTATGGCATGGAGGAATGGCTGAAAGGTATGCTGGTGATGTTCTGTTTCAGATCTGGATGCTGGTTATGGGATGTATGGAATGGCCAATGTGTAAAAATTCATCAAGTTGCATACATATGTTCATATTTCCACATTCATAAGAGGTTTTTCCTTAAAAGAAGCCTTTGCTAATATGGGACTTATATTTGGATGGAGATATACACCTAACACGCACTCCCTTTCATCAATATCTGAGAACAAAATTTAGTATCCTGAGGAAATTCAAACAATGAATTTGCATTTTCTCTCTCTATGAGGAAGACTTACCACCCCATGGCTGCGCGGGTCAGGATCACATCAAACAGCAAGACTGATAAGCCAGCTGTGACCACCTGCAGAAATAATTTCAACAAAAGGTCATGAGAGCGGCAGGGCTCCAGTAACCTCCAGGCGTTTTTCCCCAGATTAGTTCAGATCCCCGATGTTAGCCATTCTGGCCCACTCCGCGTCCTTTTCCCCACCTGCCTTCCCCACCTGCCTCCGGTCCCCTGAATTTAGCACTGTCTCTGAGCAAAGCATTTGGTGTAGAAAAGACTAAGTCCTAGTCTGTTTTGGAGGTGAGAATCTTCAAAGAAGCATTTAACTTCCAAACTCCTCAAAAGAAGAGGCACACAGCCAAAGTCTCCTTCATCTCTCTCCCGGGAAGGGGTATATTAAGAAAACTCATTTCCATCTTGTCTCAGCAGTGCGGAACTCATCTCCAAGGTCAGGCGTGCTCATTAACCTGTTCCCAGATCCTCTAGAACAAAACCGACTGTCACCTGGTCTTTACCCAACACACTGTCTCTTCCGCCTCTCCTGATGCCCCTGTCTCTCGGATCCATGACACACATTCTAAGAAACCAGGTGCTTCCTGGGAAAGGGAGCAATTAAATCATTACTTAATTATTTGCAAACATCTAGAAGCTAAAGGGGAGGGAAGAGGTTACTTGCACACTCTCAGAGCCAGAAATTCCAGCAAAGTCTCTTAGGAATGGCAGTCATGGGACTCAGACTCAGTGCCCCTAAACTGGAGGCACAAAGAGTGTGTGTGAACCAACGGCCCAGCTTTGTCCACGTCTGGAACGTCTACTTAAGGAAGGATGTATCTTGTTTCCAGAATTCCACATTCTTCAGGCCAGGACAGCTTCTGGGAGGAAGGCCGTCCCAAGGACCTGCTTTCTGGCAGTGAGAAGCAGGCAGCAGGCTGCATCGAGGGGAAGGCCACTCAAGCTGAGATACTCAGAAATGTCAGCTCCCATCTCACTCAAGGAGGCTGCTTGGGGGAGCGGTCTTGGAGGCCTCTGTGGGTCTCCAAGCTGGGAACATGGCCATAGGCACATGGCCAGAGAAGGAGGATGTTTGATGAACCTCATGTCCTTGCTCATTCACCATCTCAGAAAGAAGTCTGGAACTACACATTCAGAATCTTTGGGGTATACATTTTGTAAGATTCTGGAACTTTTGTAGCTTACCCGTTTGGGGTCACTTTCTGTTTGCCTTGCTTTATTGATCTGCAGCAAAAACCCTGACCACAAAAAAGACCTGTATGTTGTCTTTAGGGATGATAAAGAGACAGATGCTGAGCCGAGGAGACCATTGCAAAGTGGAACAGAAAGGATAAAAGGAAAACAGTTCTCAGAGCAGTGAGTGCTGGGTTTTTGTTTGTTTAAGTTAAAGAATAAGATGAATAACAGCTGTTCTTCTGTTTTCTTTTTAACATTTGATTTTGGACTTGTGCATCTGTGGTCATCAATGAAGTGGGCCTAAAATGTTATTACCTTGCAATGCAGTTTCTGACTTTGGAAACAAGGCTATACTAACCCCATAAGTGAGTTAATCGGCTTCCCCACCTATTATCCTATAAAGGACAAAGATGATCTTGACCATGAAAGTCACCCTGACTTGATGGTCCTGATGGACCTGCAGTTCCTAGCAAAGGGGTAACTTTGAATGGCCATTGGCATAATCAAGTTTCCTCTTTCTCCTTGTTCCAAGTTTTCTATTTTCACATCTTTCAAAAATGTATTTCATTTAGGTTTTCCAATTCGTTAACATTTAGCTGTTTGGAGAAATGTCATTTTATATAGTTTTTGTCTGTAGTTTTAGTTACTATTATAGTTATTACTATTATTTGAGTCAGAGTCTCACGCTATTACCCAGGCTGGAGTGCAGTGGCATGATCACAGCCACTGCAGCCTCAATCTGCTTGGTTCATGCAATCCTTCTACTTCAGCCTCCAAGTAGCTAAAACCACAGGTGTGTGCCACTACACCCAGCTATTTTTTTTTTTTTTTGTAGAGACCAGGTCTCACCAAGTTGCCCAGGCTGGTCTTGAACCCCTAGGCTCAGGCAATTCTCTCACCTTGGCCTCCCAAAGTGCTGGAATTATAGGCATGAGCCACTGCACCCAGCCTGTGTCTGTTTTTATTATCTTCCTTTTTATTCTTATTTTTATTGTCTTTTTTTTCTCTTTTTTTTTCCCCTTTCATTAATCTTGACCAAAGTTAATACTCCTGTTAATCATTTTTTCCTTTTGCAACTTCTTGTCCCAGGATGGTGACAATGGAGATGTGTTTCTTGGACTTGATGGAAAAGGCTCTGTCCTACTTATAAATGCCAGCTGTGCGGAAAGCTTAACAAAGTGGAACATTCCACTTATAGAGGACCCAACTTGTCTTTTCTATTTCTCTATTTGTCTTCATCTCCTTTGTCTCTTTTTACCAGCTCTTCAAGGCCTTGTTTTTATTTTTAGAGCTAGGGCCTCACTCTGTTGCCCAGGCTGGAGTGCTGTAGCTCCCTGCAGCCTCAGCTTCTTGGGTTCAAGGGATCCTCTCACCTGAGCCTCCTGAGTAGCTGGAACTACAGGTGTGTGCCACCACACCCAGCTTATTTTGAAAAAAGTTTTTTGTAGAGACAAGAGTCTCATTATGTTGCCCAGGCTGGTCTCAAACTCCTGGGCTCAAGTGATCCTCCCACTTCAGCCTCTGAAAGTGCTGGGATCACAGGCATGGGCCACCACCCAGCCCGCAAGACCTTTCTTGAGAGGTTTCTCTCCTTATTCTCTGATTGCCTCTTTCATGTGAAGAGGGACGCCTCCCCCGTGCCCTGTCACACTTGCAGCCTGGGACTTGTGTCACTGCTCCCTGTGAGCTTCTTAGGAGGAATCCCATCTGCCATGAGACAGACAGCTGGCCTGCTTATTCCTACTAACTGCACCTTTTGCCAAGAAAAGCATGTCTTAAACATTTCAAACCAGCCCTTACTTGAAAATATGGTTGGTTTACCAGCCACGCTGGTGCCTTTGCCATCTGCCGCTTCCTGGAAATGTTTGCACAGCCCCCTGCTTTCTCCTAAACCTCCCGTTCAAACTTCTCCAAAGCTGTATTGCTCAGTGAACACGTGTGCTGCTGCCCGAGACCCTCACTGAGTTCTACAGCTGGGCTTGTCTTATTTCTGTAAAGACAGTCGAGTGAAGGTGTCTGCACAGCAGAGCTACTGTGGGGTCACACGGGCCACTTTTTAATCTATTCAGTAAGAACCAGCCATTTCTTGTACGTCTCCACTTTCTTTTACTTCCATCCCTCATCCTAGCGGTCAGCCCTCTTTTTGGAAGCATGCCCTCACTCTCTTTCTAACTCACACAGTTACCAAAGTTCTCCCACTTCACAAAAGTCACTTTATCGGAAAGGACAAGTAGAAGCTGACAAGGCCCCTCCAAGAGGCGGCTGCTGGGCAGCTGGTCATTCTGGCTCCCCACTGAGGGACTTGCTCACACCACCCTCACCATGGGTGAGGTTCAAATTCACATCTCAGTGACAGACATCTTTACTCCATGAGCCTTCAGTGAGGCTGCTGGGAACAGTTGGAAGTGCAAACGTTTCCGGGTCCACTCTAGTCCTAATGCCACTGAGGAAGAAATAGAAACCATGAGAGGCGGAAGGATCGCCGGAGCCCAGCAGGTCGAGTCTGCGGTGGCCGGAAGTGGCCACTGCACTCCAGTCTGGGCGACAGAGCAAGACTCCAACTCAAAAAAAAAAAAAGAAACCATGAGTGTCTTAGTGTGCCAAGTCTGGGTACAGAATGTCCCACGTGTGGCTACCCAGGGGCAGAACCTGAGAGGTAGAAGGGACTCCCTTAGCCCACGGATGGGGAGACGATGACCCAGAGACAGTACGTGATTGCTCTGGGAACCTAGAGAGTTCATGGCAGTGAGGAATAGAACCAAGACCTCAATTCCTAGCTCAACCTTCTCTCATAGCCAGAAACTCAAGAAGTGGCCCACACAAGCTCTATAAGGCTTTTTTAATTTTTTTTTGAGTTGGAGTCTCATTCTGTCGCCCAGACTGGAGTGCAGTGGCACACTCCCGGCCACTGCAGCCTTGACCCACTGGGCTCCAGCAATCCTTCCGAGTAGCCGAAATTACAGGCACACAATACCATGCCCAGCTAATTATTTTTGATTTATTGTAGAGATTAGGTCTCGCCAAGTTGCCCGAGTGGGTCTCGAACCCGCGGGCTCAGGCAATCCACTCACCTCGGCCTCCCAAAGCGCTGGGATTACAGGCTGAGCCACCGAGCACAGCCTACAAGGCTTTTTAAAAAGAATCTAGGCCGGGCTTGGTGGCTCAGCCTGTAATCCAAGTACTTTGGGAGGCCGAGGTGAGTGGATTGCCTGAACCTGTGGGTTCGAGACCAGCCCAGGCAACTTGGCAAGACCTTGTCTCTACAATAAATCAAAAATTAGCCAGGCATGGTAGCATGCACCAGTGGTTCTGGCTACTTGGAAGGCTGAGGCAGAAGGATCGCCTGAACCCAGCGGGTCGACAGTGGGGTGGCCGTGAGTGTGCCACTACACTCCTGCCTGGGTGATGGAGTGAGACTCCAACTCAAAAAAGAAAAAAAAAAAATCTAATTAGCCAGGTGTAGTGGTATGCATCTACAGTCCCAGCTACTCAGGAGGTTGAGGTAGAAGGATCATCTGAGCCCAGGAGGTCAAGACTGCGGTGAGCTGTGACCATGATGCTGTACTCTAGCCTGGGCTCTGACTTAAAAAAAAAAAGGCCAATAAAAGCAGAACTCAAACAAGTATGTGTACAACCATGTTCATAGCAGCACTATTCAAAATAGTCAGAATTGGAAGCAATCCCAGTGTCCACTGAGGGGTGAGTAGAGAAACAATGAGGTGTGCACCTACAGTGAAATTTCTTTTTTTTTTGAGTTGGAGTCTCATTCTGTCACCCAGGCTGGAGTACAGTGGCACAATCATGACCACCACAGCCTCGACCTGCTGGGCTCAGGCAATTCTTCTGTTTCAGCCTTCCAAGTAGCTGGAACTATAGGTTTATGTCAC